ACATACATACATACATACATACATACATACATACATACATACATACAGATACATACATCATTTGTGTTTGTTGAAGTCACACAAACTGTTGGCCTTTGTGTGTTTTGTTCATCTTTCTCCTGACTGTTTTCTCCTTCTCTCTTTTATTTTTCTCTTTCTCTGTGTGGTCATTTGAAATCTTATCAGGCTTACACAGAAGCCTGAAAAAAGACATGTGTTCTCAGTAGCACAGTGTGATCTTGAGCTTCCAAAGATTTCTAAATTATTTTTAAAGCATGCACAACCTTAAAAATTGCATTTATAGGGAAAAGAGAAGCTTCCTTTAATTATTTCTATACATGTATACTCAAAAGTCCAATTGGCCTCCCCCAAAAGTTGGGTATTTAAAAAAAATTAAAAAAAAACTTCCATTGTTTTTTTTAATCACACTTTTATTACCACTTTTCCTGCAAATTGACATTCAACAATCAATCATGGATCACACCCTCGCCTTTTCCTACTTGTGTTTATGAGGTACAAGCCCTGAGAAATGAACAAAATTCCATTTAAAGATGTTGTAGAACAAATCAATGATATTATTACCACTTGTGCTGTGAATGGTCTTTTCCTTCTATCATATTAAGCATTGTAATTTGGCTGTCATGTTTCAACTGGCTTGATGAGGGTCAGCAATGTATTAGGGGGCACAGTTTGTGTTCTCTGCATAGATACTGGCACCAGGTCAACTAAGAATGCTTTGCAACAGGGGGAAAAAGTCTTCTTTTTAAGGGCATTACATATGGAACAGAAAATCAATAGCTAGTTCAGGTAGATAGGAAGAATTATATGCTTGGCTGATTACTAATGCACACTTACATACAAACAAATGTCCTTTTTTAGAGCAGGGCTGTCAGCTGGCTAAAGGATTGTTTAGTTATTTAGCTTGCCTCTGATTAATTAATTGATTTTGTACAGGTAAAATTTATGTTCAGGCAACCTCAATGAAGTTGCCCCACTAAGAATTCTGAAGGAGATAAACAGGCCTTTGCATTCCTCAACTGCATTTTCAATAACTTCCTCCATATGCTGTGACTTGACTTAACTCTCCAGCTTCTTAGCTCACTTGAGATCAGGCTGACTGAAGTAACTTTAATGTCCCCCCTTAGTCAGAGTTCAGATATTAGTTAGAGCTTGGCTCTATTTACACAATGAACTCAACTTAGAGCAGGGGTGTCAAACTCACATCATCATGGCAGCATCACATTATGTATCAGGACTTTTTCCCCCTTCACTAAACCAGGCATGGGCATGGCCAGCAAATGATGCACCCGGCCCATGGTCCAAGAGTTTGACAGCCCTGGGTTAGACAGAGTAGAATGTAAGTATTGCGGCTTAACAATTTTTTTTTATTTTCTGATGTTACTCACAGTTTACTCTTATTTTAGAAAAATGCAGGAACCATTATTTGAAGGAAAAGGGAGAATTGTGGGCCTTATGCAATTTTAGAACGAAAAAACAACAACATGGGTGTGATTTACTTATTTCTGACAGGCAACATAATGCAACTATGCAGAATACACAATCATATCTTTTGTGCTGTGATGTCATGGGATATAACTCATCATTTTAATGTCATTGTGGCTTGTAACAGACAACCATGAAAGAAATCTTTCATTTTCTACTAGTATTCAAAACACTGAAATGTAAAGCTTTCCTAGTTCTTATTTACGATAAAGACAACATTTACCAAAAAGGAAACTAAATTCAGAAATTAAAATGCATAGATGATATAAATACTTTGTCTTTTCGTATCACTTACACTGCCTCCTAATATTACTTTTGAGAAGTTTGACACCACTTCCTAGGTGGCTTCCCGAGGTGGCCTTATCAAGGCTTTACCAAGAGGTGGGGGATTGGTCCTTTGGATTGGTCAAATGATCTTTGAATCATACTAAACCATAGTGTTTTTTTTTTCCCCAATGACACAGTAGAAGTAGCATATTTGGGAGTACAATGTCCCATCTTCCAATATAACCTCTTGTACAAAAGAGTTCATTAACTTTCACTCCATCTCAGATCTAAACTTTGAGATTTTTTTTTTCAATTAAATATGTTGTCTTTGCAACTGTTTGGAAGAGTTTCTTTTTATAAAATGTCTAGATTCTATTCACATGTCCATTATTTATATCCTTTGATTTTCAGTAATGGTCTCATCTTTATATATCTGTAAAGCCTATGGGCTTGCAGCTTGCTATATACTTTATATCATTTTTACTTTTTATTTCATTTTGTTAAAAAACAACAAATTAACTTAAGTGAGGAATGTTCTTCTATAAGGCCATATCTTCATAAAAAATAATTATTTAAAGTCTGGTATTTATAGAATCAGTTTCCTTTAATGTATGTTTTATATATTGTCATGATCATCAAGTTCAATCCACTTGTTAAGGCACTCATTAAAAAATCAGGAGACTGTGAGTTCTAATCCTGATTTAAGCATGAAAGCCAACTTATTCGACTTTGCACCAGTCACTCTCTTTCAACTCAGCTCATCTGATGGGTTTGTTGTGGGGAAAATAGGAGGAGGAAGGAATGTTGGATATGTTCACTGCCTGATTTATTTCTAAAAATCATAAAGGCGGGAATAAAACATCTTTAAAAATCTAACAATAAAAATGTCAAGGTAAATACAGAATACTATTTAATATGGAATAGGTTTTATCATTGGTTAGAAACACGAGGTATAATTTGAAGATGAAAGAATCAGGTGAGGGAAACCTGGAAAGAGATACTGTTTGTATTATAGACAGAGGAATGTAAGCATTAGAATGATAGGGGAGTTGTCATATTATATGATGGTGAGAAATTTTTGTATAAAAATTTATATATATAAATTTGCATATATGTTATTTTGTTTTTCACTTCTATTTTATGGCAATTGGAATTCCATGTCCAAATACACTGTTTTCAATATATTCATATGTAAACAATAAAAATATATATTCACCAAAAAATCAAGGTTATTTCAACAAGACCTGAAAGAATTGACATTTGGTAAAATGGAGCTAATTTTCCTAAAACAAATAGATAAAATTTAACTATGAGGACAATTCCTTCTTCCACGCTCTGGAACTATAAGTGATCTTATTACTAGTCTCCCTAATTCACTTACCTATCTTGCTTTTGTGAGCATCTACAAATTGGTAAATAATTGATTTGATATATGTATGGGAGAACTT